TGAAACTACTACATGACTCGTTATGTTACTACAAAATCAATTATTCTTTAAAATACTAATAATGTGTGAAATCAAATAACTATATTTTTCCACTTTGATATATTTTCATTTATATAGTAGATTGACATGGAATCAAAGTTGAATGACCAAATTAATATTTGTAATCAAAGTTGAAGGACTAATTAAGTTGGTTTTGATGTTTGAAACTTAGAACTATTTTGGTATCAAAAATTAAAGTTCAAGGATAACTTTAATATTTTTTAGGCCAAAGTGCCTATTTACCCCTTAGGCATTTTTTTTTTCCACAATCAACACATTAAACTAATTTTTTTTTTTAGTCAATACCCTTCATAATTTAAAATATGTGAAAAATCCTAAATTACCAACAAAGTTAAGGTGCAAATAAAGAGTTTGATTATTAATTTTTGGTACAAAAAAAGAGTTTAACCTTAATTTTTGAGTTTTTTGCAAGTTTCAAATTATAAAAGATGTTAACTAAGATTAAAATTAGTTTAGAGTGTTGATCATAGAAAAAAAAAATATATGGGATGCAAATAGAGAGTTTGGCCTATTTTTTAAAGTGTAAAAATAGTTTTGATATAAATATAAAAACTGAGGGATTAAATTAGTATTTTAACCTTTATGCAAGCACAAACAACACTTTTTAAAAAAAAATTTTGGGCCATCCATGTTTTAGGTGGACCTCCATTTATTTAAGCACAAACAGCTCTTTTTTAAAAAGATATTTCTTTTTTTTTTCTTTTTAAATTCTGTTGGGCCATCTCCTTTTAAATAGTCGTAAAGTCAACGTCAAGTGCCAACAGCAATATTTTTAAACTGTTATTTTTTCCCTTTAAACTGTTTTAAAACAAGAACTCTAGTTGAACAAAAGTGAATCTCTTTTGTACCACAGGTCCACAAAGCCGAACGACCAAACGTAACAGTAGGACCACTAAACATGCATTATATATGTTGGGTCCATTTTGCATTTTTTCGGTTTCCCGCCCAGCATCCAGAGTTTCGTTCCGACTAATTCGGACCCGAACCGCGTCGCGCACCTGAAAATGATGGGTGAGTCTCTCAGCAAGAGCAGCTGCATACACAAGATTTTAAACTCGAGACCTTATTTAAACTGGAACAAACCACTTACCACTTGATCCAACCCCTCCTTGGTGGGTCCATTTTGCATTTGCTTCAAAGAAAAACCATGAAATCAATACAAATAAATTCTTTAAATTACGGAATATTTATTATGTATATTAATTGCACGGCAATGATATCTCAACTTCGAACATGTTGGCATTTGCAATTTTACAATCTTAAGTAATAATGTATCATTATAAAATTAATTATTTTTAAAAAAATTTATATAATATTATATGTATCAACTTGTTTAATATTATATATATTATCACTATAAACTCATAGTTAAGGTCACAGAAAGTGCTACATGATGGTGGGTGATTGCTTACAATCTAGAACCTAGAGTGCATAAATAAT